AATCGAGACATCGAGAGCCCGCACCCATCAGTACACGCCTGACACCCGTTCAGTCAACATCTATGTGTTACTCCGGCAGCGCTCATACGCCTGTCGTACACTATAAGACCTTTTGTACACTATATGTAAATAAAATCGTTTTGTCGTACAAATTGAGTCTATGTTTCATTCATTGAAGCCCACCGTTCGCTTCAATTGGCGCAGTCGATTGCAAGCAGTTCACACTAAGCGTGACTCTACGTCTACATCGCATTCGCACTTCGCCTATAAGTCACGTCTAAGTAGAGGGGAATGAGGGAAAGTGAGCAATGCTTCCCCCACACGTAAACCTTATGGCTGTATATGTCGCGCACGCGCACGACATTCCCGCCTAAACTCTACTCAATCGCCGCACATATAGCCCAACACTCGTCAGATCACAGCGAGACTCCGACTCGTGAACATCATGTGGATCTCCGGCATCACTATACGAGTGCCTGTCGTTACTTACGATACGAAACGCTTTTTATAATCATTTATACGTGTATTTCCGATACGTTTTCGATATAACAATAAATACTTTCGATTTACGAATACGTTTACGACTTATTACGCTTTAAGTCACTCTTTGAAGCTGTCGAAACGGACACGAAACCATCGCATGACTATTATCCATCGCTCGCAGACAATGCCTCCTAAGAGACGACAGGCATTGAGACGCTCTTTGTCTCAAACAGACGTCAACGATATCGATATCAACGCATTGGCCCAATCGGTGGCACTACTGACCGCCAACCTCGGAGGACAGGCGTCGACCGCCAACCAAACGCCGAGTAACGTGAACACTGTGCCGCCACCGGTGCCAACGCCTATCAGTACACAGGCATCGACTGCCAGTACTACACAAAGAGCGCCAAACACTACAAATGCATCGAATGCTAGACGAGCGGTGAGATACGATTTCGGGTCGACATCCGGTGTCTCTCCAACACCACAGTCATCGCAAACACAGCAGACATCGACTCCACACTACCGGTCGGATCGAGTCTTGTGTGACAAGTTTGTCGGCTCCGCGAACGCAATCAAAATCGACAATCAGATCTCAATGTTGAACAACGGACTGCCGCTAAGTCTTGCAGAGAAGGTGTCCGCGCAACGGCCGCAGACTCCAGAAGATTGGTTGGCCATTGCCCACAACATTGAACAGACCCGCAAAAACCGCAACTACAAACGGAAAGACAACCGCAACGATAAATGCATAGACTCCAGAGCTTAGATGAGACCGTGTCTGCACTGTGTCTTAGATCTCGAGATCTATGACCGCTCTGAGACCATGCACTGGCGCAGGGATTGCCCGCGGCTTCACCTGAGGCGCCCCAACGAAGTGAGAGCTCACGCGAGTTCTTCAACAGCAGTGGTTCCCGCACACCAGCAAAACCACTCAACAAACGATTGTTAATAATCATCGCCATCGCTAGACATGAGGCCGAGAAGAGGTTTGAGGACACACATCATTGCAATCGGACGTCGACCGTCAGCCCGCAATCGGAGTCGAACTCCTCGAACGCGAGCACTACGAGCACAATGAGCAACAGTCCGCCAATGCCCACAACTCGTCTCAAACTAGTCAAGCGTTAAGTGATGATCTCGGATCGAATCCAATCGCACGGCTGTTATTATCAAATCGCTTGAAAGGAAATGCCGCCCAAAAGGAGAGGAGCTCTTAGGCGTTTACTATCGCAAACTGATGTCGACGTCGATATCAACACTTGGCGCGAGACTTACGACAACCCTCGGGTGCAACGCTGCCGGACAGTAACGCTACTGTCCAACCCACGGTTAATGTCAATACTGTACCGCCTATACCGCTGCCAACGCCTATCAGTACTCAGGCATCGACTGCCAGCACTCAACAAAGAGCGCCAAGCATTTCAAACTCATCGAATGAAATAAGATATGACTTTGGGTCGACACCCGGTGCCCCTCCAACACCACTATCGCAAGAGAGCCGATCACTACCTGTCGGTCAGTCCGGATCTCACGTGAAACCTGTCGATCCCGATCCACGCCATACACCGCATTAGACTATCAAAGAGAAGAACACGAACGCGAACATCGATATCAACGCTTGGCCCAATCCGTGGCTCAACTGAATGCTAATCTCGGGACGCAAGCGTCGACCGCTAGCCATACGCCGAGTAATGTAAACACAGTTCCGCCGCCACCGGTGCCAACGCCCAGCAGTACACAGGCATCGACTGCCAGTACTACACAATAAGCGCCAAACGCTTCCAACGCATACGAATGGTCAACGCTGACCACGGCTCGAAGCCCACCCGTCAATGACATACGAATGGTCAACGCTGACCACGGCTCGAAAGCCGCCCGTCGAACACATACGAAAACGCGTGAAAATCGCTCGAAACCTAAAGCAAAGGCTTTCAGTGAAAAGCGCGCGAAACGAAAACAACGGACAAAGCATTGATGGTAAACGCGACGCCATTAATCCACCCTTACGTTCAATCCATCGCATGACATGTCGTCACAGACAAAGGCACGACATTACGTCTCCATCGCATTCGCTCAGCAACGAGAAGCGCAATTCGAGAGTCACCCGCGGATCGCATACACGAGAACACGCGTGAAATCACACGAAACGCAATCTAAGCGCTTTCAGTGAAAAGCGCGCGAAACCAAACAAAGCACTACACAAAGCATTGATGGCATAGAGACGCCAGACATCCGGTTCAACATTCAATGCAATGTCGGCTTAGAGAAAGGCGCGACACAACGGCACCAACGCATCCGCTAAGCAACAGCTAATCAACCAATAGCAGCGCAACAAAAATACGACTACACGAGCACAAGAGCACAGCAACGAGCACTCGACCAATCATAATGCACTGTCGGCTCAGACAAAGGGCGACAACACGTGAACACTGAGAAGCGATAACACATCACATCCGTGAGCAACGAAAGCGTTAATGCATTCGCATTACACTGTCCGTCGTCTAAGTAGAGGGGAATGAGGGAAAGTGAGCAATGCTTTCCCCCACACGTAAACTCTATGACAGTATATCGCGCGCATGAGCACAAGTATACGCGCCTAAAGTCCTATAATCGAGACATCGAGAGCCCGCACTCATCAGTACNGTATATCGCGCGCATGAGCACAAGTATACGCGCCTAAAGTCCTATAATCGAGACATCGAGAGCCCGCACTCATCAGTACACGCCTGACACCCGTTCAGTGAACATCTATGTGTATCTCCGGCAGAGCTCACACTCCTGTCGTTAACTATAAGACCTTTTGTACACTATATGTAAATAAAATCGTTTTGTCGTACAAATTGAGTCCACTATTCATTCATTGAAGCCCCCTACTTTCGCTTCAGAAGAAAATATTCAATCATTTCAAATACAATTGAAAAGCATATAAAACAAAAATATTAATCAATTTGTGAACTAAATTGTAGTAAAAATGAGAAATAAGTGAATGAAAGTGTAAAACACTTACTCGTTATGTAAAGATTCATTCAATCATTCAAACCATTGTTTTGAACACAAAACTTGATTACGAAATGCATTGAATGGTCACGTGATTCACACCTGATATCAATACAATGTATGCATTGATGGCATAACGCCCTCTAATGTGTGCAGTCTTTTGGACAACAAATACATTGCATTTGCAATTGAACTCAACATCACTCAAGACATCTGAAGACATGTATTCATACGCTTTACTCCATTAACACGTCTCGCAATTGAGTCATCATATGATCGCAATGTCTGCCAAATCGACCGTCAAAGAGGCCGACAATGTGTTTGTCTTAATGACCGATAAATATAGGATCTCGAGGTATGTCTTGATGTGCAAAATAAGAGCGAATGAAGTGATCACTTAAACTGGTCCAATGTTGTAGGAATATGAGGGCCCAGTGGTTCTTCGAGCACTTCCACAAACACATCCGACTCCAACCCAAGCACTCGATGGTCAGTACATTCTCAGCCATTGATATGTCATATGATTTGCTCAAATATTGACCATCTTTTCGATGACAGGAGTGTTTTGATAGTGAGATTGATTTGGTATCCATTCTTCCGGCCAATTATCAAGACTATCACGACTTGGGATCGGATTCGCAATACGCGGGCGAATACTTCATATCTGCGGCCACTAAAGTAACCTTCTTCTCCAGAAGGTATCGGTTGGCGTTTGTTCTCGACTTGAGTCCTTCCATCTCATCCGTCGTCAGTATATCAATGGATTTTGCAATGCATTTATCATTTATACCAACAATCCCTTCACTTACAGGACATTCAAAGAAATCACATATTATTGGACGACGTGTTGAGGTCTGTGTCCACTTGTCTGCGAGGACTCGTCCAACCCGTGAGTTAAAGTTGTTGTAATAATATATTGATTGTACGGCTAATGTATGCAAACCAATGGCTAGTTTTACATCCCTGGCTCTCAAATACTATTTGCGCCCAAACTCTTCGTGACTGTCATCGCATACATACCTTTCTATAGCTGTGATAACCATCAGGTGTTGGCTCAGGGATGGCAACTAACCCATCATAATATTGAATCATTTTTATCGCATTTGCGCTCAAATCTATCGGATATAATCGCTTCGCTGTCAGAGATATCGGCAAAAGCTAAGGACGAACGCGACGAAGAGGAACAGGTCTTACATCATGTTTTGTCCACTAGTTATACACTTTTAAACCAAATTTGCATTTTCAGTCGGCGTCCGATATAATGATTGAATCGCTGTTTCAAAAAAGTGAGACTAAGAATCGCTCGTTGCCCACATTATTGGCCACTCCCGACATATCAATGGTCAATATGTTAAGGTTTGGCTTATTAGCCCTTCAGCTCCTGCCCGACAATAGTAGCGCCGGAATAGTGATCGTAACGGACGGCATGTTTAGGTGAGTGTTGTTGTTGTTGTGATGGCCTGTGTTTAAGCGCTGGATCTGATGATGTGATGAATGTGTGTTTGACAGTATGCCTAACGCCAACACATTGGAGTCGGCGCTGACCCAACTCCGACACCACACCATATCGTGTTCATTCATTCAAACGGGCAGTTCATCGCACCCGCACTCGTCCCTCGGCTTCATCCCCTACACAGACCTAATGAAGTTCATATCGACCGCCACTTTCGGCGCTTATTTGTCCGTTTGTCCAGAAGTGACACGTCTTGTGAGTCAAGTATTTAATATTTGCGCTCCATTTATATCATTTATTGGCCATTCACCATATATAAACAATAAGTTCTATATTTAAGAATAATGACCAAGCTCGCTTTACAAGTTACTTAAATAATATTCACAAATAAGAAATTGTGAAAATACACGACTTCTATAAAGCTTTGATTTTTGGGCAATAAAAAGCCAAATGGAATATTACTGTTCCTTATATCTCATAACTTATACCCACAAACCCATAGGCAAGCTATGTATGGCTGAGTTCTATACAGTTGTATCAGTGACAAAGGAGTTTGTTCATTCGTGATGTACAGTACCGTATTTAAATATTGGACACATTTTTTAATTGCAAAATTTGATATTGTGCTTAAAATTGATGTATCGATGTTTGAATGTATTATTTTGATGCAAATACCATAAATAACTTCTCATAACTTTTTATCGCCTTTTTAGCAACTTTTCAATCATTTTTAAGTAACTTTTATAATAACTTAAGGACTGGTGTTTGATAATCAAAAATTAAATGTTTAATTTATAATCATATATCGCACCCGCACTCGTCCCTCGGCTTCATCCCCTACACAGACCTAATGAAGTTCATATCGACCGCCACTTTCGGCGCTTATTTGTCCGTTTGTCCAGAAGTGACACGTCTTGTGAGTCAAGTATTTCATATTTGCGCTTCATTTATATCATTTATTGGCCATTCACCATATATAAACAATAAGTTCTATATTTAAGAATAATGGCCAAGCTCGCTTTACAAGTTACTTAAATAATATTCACAAATAAGAAATTGTGAAAATACACGACTTCTATAAAGCTTTGATTTTTGGGCAATAAAAAGCCAAATTGGAGAATAAAATCCAAATGGAATATTACTGTTCCTTATATCTCATAACTTATACCCACAAACCCATAGGCAAGCTATGTATGGCTGAGTTCTATACAGTTGTATCAGTGACAACGGAGTTTGTTCATTTGTGATGTACAGTACCGTATTTAAATATTGGACACATTTTTTAATTGCAAAATTTGATATTGTGGTTAAAATTGATGTATCGATGTTTGAATGTATTATTTTGATGCAATATTTATTGAAGAGTATTGAAAAATAGCGGAAAAATCGTTGAAAAGTTAGTAAAAATTCATTGAAAATATTATTGAATTCCTGACCACAAACTATTAGTTTTTAATTTACAAATTAAATATTAGTATAATAACAGAAAATAGTGATTGAATTTGTTGTCTTTGATAAGTTTGCATCAAGTTATAATTAGGAAATTGTTTCACAACTGTATTCCTCATACGATACCTTCTATTGATATATAACATGATATCCAAGATTTGATTACCGAATGTTTCAATTCTATTGCCGACAATAGGATACCGACGGACAGCATATGAGCCATGACTTCAATCTATATCACAGAGCATTCTTCGCCTGGAATTTTCTTTCCCCAAATAAGTCGAAATCTCGGCTATAATTAGTGTTTGTTTGCGAGTTATTAAGAGGTGTCCTTACCTCACATCTCATTCTTAACTGATCTTAAATTGTATTGTAATTATGTGTAATAAATTACGATTCCTATATCTATTTCGTTGTCAAATATTTTATTTTAACTGTTGAATTAATTGCTATGTTTTGCATTGAAAGTAACGCATACTTCTACTCAACACACGATTACGGGCTTAACTCTAGTCGTGAGACTCGCGACCAACAAATGGTTCGCAACAAACAAATTGAAAACACAGTTTCGGCTCAATAAAGGGGTTTATTCAGCTTTAGAGCCGATATTAATCACAAACAAACGCTCAATAATTCTCCACAGGAATGGAGTGTAGAGTAAGAATTGACTAGAATTTAACATAACATTAATACACATTATTTAATTGATTCCTATATATCTATTTGGTTACCAAATATTTTATTTTAATTGATTCCTATATATCTATTTGGTTACCAAATATTTTATTTTAATTGTTTAATTAATTGGTATGTTTTGCATTGAAAGTAACGCATACTTCTACTCAACACACGATTACGGGCTTAACTCTAGTCGTGAGACTCGCGACCAACAAATGGTTCGCAACAAACAAATTGAAAACACAGTTTCGGCTCAATTGACACAAGTATTGTCATGTCGTCTGAGAGAGGGATACACTATAAAGAGTGTTAATTATATTCCAAGTATTATTTCTATTAAATGTTTTATTGCTCTTTAAAACTAATATTTAATTCAATAATTAGATGAAAATCAAATAGAAGTTTGTCTTCTGCTTCCGTGGAGGCATAACGTGAACATTGAATACAATTTGAGCTCAACTTTGCCCACAAAGTCTATATCGTATGTATTGTTTGATTTACATATTAAGTCATATTTTGCTAAAATTTTATTATTTTAAATGAAACATATTTAGTGATGAGAGCGAAGAGACAGCGCCTGAATGCCATTACGAAGTGATAGTTGAGGGAAGTTATTATTTTTTACACGACGTCACCTGTGCTATCAAAAAGCCCATCAAAAGTGCTTACCGTTCGGCAACAATCACACAGTTTTGGACAACACTTAAAAGGTTTTTACATCTAATGTTCACAAGAGTCGGCTCTAATATAAATACAATTTCTATTAGTTATATAATAAAGTAGAGTGTATTTAAAGGCATATTAAATAGATATTGTTGTGTTGTATTAGTTTATCAGAATCGGACAAACATGATTCTCACGCTCCCTTTTTCTGCCCCCCATTGACTCAAGCCATACAAACGCATTCATACACACCCACAATATCATCCAATTATAACGAGGGAGCGAGATAATGTGAGATCGGGTTATTGACATTATTGTTAAGTCATATTTTGCTAAAAGTTTATTATTTTAAATGAAACATATTTAGTGATGACAGCGAAGAGACAGCGCCTGAATGCCACTACGAAGTGATAGTTGAGGGAAGTTATTATTTCTTACACGACGTCACCTGTGCTATCAAAAAGCCCATCAAAAGTGCTTACCGTTCGGCAACAATCACACAGTTTTGGACAACACTTAAAAGGTTTTTACATCTAATTTTCACAAGAGTCGGCTCTAATATAAATACAATTTCTATTAGTTATATAATAAAGTAGAGTGTATTTAAAGGCATATTAAATAGATATTGTTGTGTTGTATTAGTTTATCAGAATCGGACAAACATGAGATACATTTGCATAACTTCACGCGTAACGCCTGGAGCCGTAATATTCCCGAAAGCATTAAGAATGGCGTTCCGCTCTTCTATATGCCGCCCAACTCTTCAGATGCGGTCATTTCATCCAAAAACACAGTTCACTCGCAATTCGCTCAGTACTGGAAATGGATGCTTAATGTGAATGTATGTGAGAAATGGATGCACACACACAGAATCAATGTCATACTTGAACACGACTACCCCCTCCCCAAACACCTCCATCTGCCCAACACTAGCGGCCGATACACTAACATCCAGTGCCGACAAGCGCTCTCATCTTTGAGTGTCTTATTGACAGAATTGAGTTCTTTTGTTCTTCTAGAAAATCACAGTTACATTAAATTATTACAAAAGTTAGTCAAAACTCTCATTACATTATTTGTATGAATATTTAATGATCTAATATTAATGCATATATAGTTCGGCGACTGAAAGCCCCCACTCTTTCTATTTGATTCGTGTTGTATCTCAACCTCCATGTGTTGTCATTCATTTGGCTTTTATTGGAGGAACGAGTGGTCGCTTAAGACATGAGGTTTACATTCATAGCATTTGTTTGCAAATATATTTATATTTTGTTTATTTAGATCGTGTGTGAACTCAAAGACCGAATAAAATTATGTAAATTTCCCAAAAGGAATATCTCTTCTCTTAATTACCAAAAGCCAAAGAACTCTCAGACGAATGATTCGAGAGAAGCCAACGAGAAGAGCAAAAGCGATTGGAAGACATCGTCTCCATTGCAAAAACAATGGGTTGACGTTAACTGTTGTGTTATAATTAAGAAGTCAATCGAAAAGATTCTCATTCGTTACGACAGAATTCCCAAAGATTTTACACAAATATGTGATAGAAATGCATTGTTTGCTAATCATTTGAACGGATCTAATGTTAGCCACAATTTCTATGCGACCAATCAAAACCTGTCGTCGCTTAATATGTTTCAAATTCTCAACCGATACCTCTATCATCAGCGATGGATTTGGGCGACAAGTTATGGATCCGCTCCCAGACTTAGTTCTTCTTCATTGGCTAAAATATTAGCAGTTCTCACAAAGTAATGATTGTTTGCAAAAGTGATGACTATTTTGTCTAAATTGTGTGTAATATTTATCAATTAGACTGCGATTACAAGAAGGCTTTCATTTCGCTCACAACGACTCAGGGATTCTGAATATGATTAAAGAATTATCAATGAAAGACCAAAATGACTCTCACTT